TCCACCAAGAGTCTGAGGCGCTCGTACTGCCGCTTGAACTCGGGGTCCTTGAAGACATGCATGGGGATCCTCTGCTCCGACGCCGCTGCCTTGCTGCGCAGCTCAATGCTTATGATGGCAGGAGCATGATCACTCAGTCCACGCTCATGTAACAGCTCAGGATACTCAGGAGTGGCCGCGCAGATGTGATGTTGGAGCGCCTGCCAGCTCGGAAGCGATACGAAGACCCGATCGATCTGCGTGAGCTTGGGCTGCCACTCGTTGGCCACGTAGTGCGTACGCAGCTCGTTGTCTATCTCCATCATTCGATTGAAGAGCTCCTTCCAGTACTGTGCATGCGGCCTGCGAGCCGTGTCTCCAGGACTTCTTCGACGGTCAATATCTGGAGCCCGCGGGTACATCGGCAGCTGCTTGTAGATGCTGAAGTCGCCCAGCAAAAAACACCGTGACCCGCTCTGGGGCCATGTCGGCCAGAGTGAGGTCCGCAGATAACTTTGCCTGCAGCACCTCCCTCTCGCCGTCCGTCAGATTGAAATTGTGCACATTATATCTGACCGTGCTGCATGCATGAGCCGAAGCCTGGGCAGGGACTCCCGAGATACGTAAACGCTGTACTCGCCCACGGGCGAGGATCTCGTGCACGAGCCGTGCTCTGCGCTCGACCCCAACATCGCAAGGAATGATTAGAGCTACTCCACCAGCATCGGCCTGAGGAGGAAAGGAACAGAAGGCACGGTGAGGAAAGTGAAGCCGATGGAGCGCTTGACGTAGCTCCGCCTCGGTCGCGTGGACCTCCTGGAGCGCCATGACGGTGCCACGGCGCAAGTGCTGCGCCAGATATTGAAGCTTGTGTTCTCGAACTCCGCCTGCGCGTCGGTCGTGATGGAGAAGGGCGCGCGTGTTCCACGTGCCCACCGTTAGCGGCGCCGATGACGCAGATGGAGGCCTCCAGCACGCAAATCGATCATTAAATAGACCACTGTACTCGCTCAGCTTCGCCGAATAATCCCTCGAAGGCGTCCTTGACAGCAGACTTGTCCAAGCCAAGATCAGTGACCATGCGATAGTTCCACACATGTACATAGTATATATATACATATATACACACACACACGCTACAACCACGCGCGCGCTATGCGCGCTCACATTCTAGTCAACCCCGAAGACGTCATCCTCATGAACTACATCCTCCTCCACTCTCATGGCAAGCAGAAGCAAACCCGGCGTCGACGTCGTCGTCGGCATCGTCGCCGCAGTCGTCGTCGTGGTCGCGGGTGGGGGAAGGGGAAGTAGGGAGAGAAGGAGAGGGGAGGGAGGGACGCAGGTAGGGAACAACAGAAGCAGACAGGCAGGAGAGACAAAAAGAGAGAGGGCGAGAAATGGAAACGAAGATGGATCAACGGATGAATAAGAATTCCTCCTCCTTTCTTTTCTTCCGCTTCTATATGTTGCTTCTCCTCTGTTTTTACTCTCATGGCGGAGTTGGCCGGAGACCTGAAGCCATCCGTTTCTCCTCCTCCTCCTCCTTTTCCTCCTCTTCTTCTTCCTCCTCCTCCTCCTTTTCCTCCTCCTCCTCCTCCTCCTCCTCGTCTTTCTCCTCCTCCTCCTCCTCCTTCTCCTCCTCCTCCTCCTCCAACTCCTCCTCCTCCCCTTTCTCTCCCTCCTCCTCCTCGTCCTCGTCGTCCTCGTCTTCCTCCTCCTCCTCCTCCTCCCTCCTCCTCCTCCTCCTCCTCCCTCCTCCTCCCTCCTCCTCCTCCTCTCCTCCTCCTCCCCCCTCCTCATCCTCCTCCTCCTCCTCCTCCTCCTCCTCCTCCTCCTCCTCCTCCTCCCCCTCCTCCTCATCCTCGCTAACCTCACCTGCGTGCTCTGCCTCCGCGTTCCTCCTCCCCTCCTCGTCCTCCCCTTCCTCTTTCGATTGGCGACGACAATCATGTTCCTGGCAAGCTTTCCGGGAACATGATTGTCGTCGCCAGTCGTCCCAAGTGAGTTTGCACAACCTGCGGGACGGCCCAATGGAATCATTCGAAAAGCGTTGCGAAGGGGGTGAGGAGGTGGAGCTTGGACATGAAATTGAGGAGGTGTGAAGTAAAAAGACAAAAACGGCTGGAGTTGGCAAGGCCAAGTGGGGGAGGGTGAAAGAGAGCGTGGGGGGGGCTTACGACACAGACTGAAGGTGGTGTCGGCCCATCCCGCCACCGTCCCTGGATAGTGGGTCGAATCCCTGTAGGATGTTCGGTGGCATATTGACGGAAGCCGCGAGGGGGCCTCTTTAGAACCGCTGTCGTTGACCATTCTGGGCCGTCCGGGGCGCCGCTGGGGCCGCTTTGGGGCACGCGTGGGCTGGCATCCTCATTGTTGTCGTCTGGATCGTCTTCATTAATTACCTCATGATTTACCTCAGTTTGCCTTTTCCTGTCCTCCTCCTCGTCCTCCTCCTCCTCCTCCTCCTCCTCCTCCTCCTCCTCTTCGGTTTCCTCGTCGGGCTGGCGGCGACAATCGCGATTCTGGAAGGCTTCCGGAACTTGGTAGCGTGGGCCGCGTTGGGGGCCTCGGTGTGTACCATCGACGGCGAGTCCATTTGCAGCAGGGCCGCGGGCCCGACCTCGGTTCCGCTGTGGACGGGCCCCCAGGCAATGCCACTCATAATTGGGAGGCTCGGTGGGATGGCCTCCTCTTCGGTCTCCTCACCGGACTGGCGGCGACAATTGTTCCTGGAAAGCACTCCGCGAACATGATGGTGTAGGCCGTATTGGGACCCTGGTGGAGGTTCCAATATACCACGAGTGAAAATGGAAAGCCGGAAGGACGGCCCAATGAAATCATTCAAGGAAAACCCTGAGATGTGGGGGTGAGGAGGTGGAGCGTAGAACTATATGAAGGAGGTATGGAATGACAGAGCAAGCACGGCTAAATATGGGAAGGCCACGAGGGGAAGGGTGAGAAAGACCGAGGGGGCTTACGACAGCGACCACAATGGCTACGGGCCCATCCCGCCGCCGCCCTGAACTGTGGGTCGAAAGCCTGTAAAAACTTCGTTGGGAAGGCGATGGGGGCAGCGCGGGAGCCTGTTGGGAGACGTTTCTGGGCCTCTTGTCGTTGACCACCCTGGGTTGTCTTGGGCACCCTTGGGGCCGCCTTGGAGCCTGCGTGGGTCTCTGTTCGCCTCCTCCTCTTCCTCCTCCTCCTTCCTTCTCCTCCTCCTCTTCCCACTTTTCCTCCTCCTTCTCCTCCTCCCCCCTCCTCCCTCTTTGGTCTCCTAATCGGACGGGTGGCGACAATCATGTTCCCGGAAGGCTCTCTGGGAGCACAACTTGATGGGGTGGGCCGTGCAGGGGCCGTCGGTTTCAGGGTTATCCAAATGAGACTGCAAAGCCCGCAGGACGTGGCAGTGGAAGCATTTGCAAATGTTGAGATGGTGGTAAAGCTTGGTAGGGAGACGGGGGAGGCGCAAGGTTTCGACTCAAGATTGGCAGGGACTGAAAGGGCCACGGCAAGGCGCTGCGCTGAATGGGGGTGTTCGGTGGGACGGCGCAGACCGTCCTCCTCATCTTCGGCCTCCTTGCCGGACTGGCGGTGACAATCATGTTCTCGGAAAGCTCCCCGGAAACATGACGCGTGGGGCAGTATTGAAGTCCTCGTAGAGGGCGTCAGGGTATCTCAAAGGTTGCTGCAAAGCCCGAAGGGCAGTCAGAGTGAGCCATTCAGAGGTGTTGTCATGGTGGTTCGGCTGAAAAGTGAGATGGGGGAGGCGTCTGGTAATGAAACAAGAACGGTAGGAGCTGGATAGGGCAGGGCAAGGAAGAAGGGATGTCGAAGGAGGCCTCGCGGGGGCCTTTGGGGGCCGTTGTTTGGCCTCTGTGGGCCAGATTGGGAACCTTCTGGGGTGTCGTGGGGGCCTCTTGTGGTCCTCTTGGAGCCCCGTTGCAGCATCTGGGAGCCTTCTTGGGGCCTCCTGGGAGCCTCTTCAAGCGAAATTCGAAATTTCGGTTCATGATCCCCCTCTGGAGGCCATCTTGGGGCCGGGCCTCTGAGGCCGTCTCGGGCGCCCCTGGGGCCGTCAAGGAACCCTGCTAGGCCGTCCCGGGGCCCTCCTGGCCGCCTCTGGGCCTGTCCTGAAGCGGTGTTGGAGGCCACTTGGGCCGTCGTGGATTATCGGAAGCTTGACGAGTGGAGGAGCCGAAAACATCGAAAAACCCTGGGGGAATCAAAAACTGGGCAATGCCATGGCGCGGCGAACAGCGGCTACGGCACCATTGTTGATGTCGTCGATGCCGACCCTTGTTGATCTCGCAGCTGTCGGAGGACGGTCGGCAGGCGATGGAGGTGGTGGTGGAGGAGGAGGAGAGTAAGGACAATCAACATGGCTTGCAAACCAGCAACAGCGTGGGCCATGTAACGACAACAATTGGTTCAAACGCTAAGTAACAATGACATTTGGTAAGTCATCTTCGGAATTGCCTGGTCCGAGCGCTCTCCTGGACTCCACACCGACCGGCTCCCTCCACCCAGCGCAGCCGCCATAGGGAAGAAGTCCTGAGGACCCCAGCGAGACCAGCTACAAATCCCAACAAGATACATGAAGTAATCGTCTTGTTTTCTGAATGGGTCGCTGTACACCACCACCATCACCAACCCTGGCCAGGGCCCTCCCAGACACTGGGACAGTGCAAGCAACCCCCTGGGCTCGACCACAAAGATCTATACACCATCCTAGGGTCCAAGATGGCCCTGGCCAGGGATCCTGCCCAGACCTCCGTCGTCGTGCTTTCTTTCGTACGGGGCCCCCAGAGCCCTCACTCCAGGCAGCCCACTGGGTGAGGTTAGAGGGTCACGCCTCGGCGATGCGGCGGAGCGACCTTGCGCCGCGGCTTACGAGGACCGCCAGAGTGGCACACCGCATGGAGAAGAAGGCGCTTGCGCGCGACCCTACACGGACAGCTTACGCGCGAATGTCCGCGCAGTCGATCCCATTTCCTCCGTCGCTCACTCGGGCAGCATGGATGTTTTTGAATCGGCGCAGAGAACACGCGGCATCATCTGAGTTGGCGGCACTCATGTCGTCGCCCAACCAGCCGCTGGCCCTGCGCCTCAGGGGGCGGCCCCACGGCGAGGACGCCGGGAGCGGAGGGGCGCAGCGCGTGAGCCAAGCGCCAGAGCTCTCTTACTTGCCCAGGCCGAAGACGGGCATGAGGGTGCAGGAAGAACGGATGGAAGGAAGGCAGGAAGGAAGGAAGGAAAGAAAGAAGGAAGGAGTGGGGTGGAGTGGAGTGGAGTGGGGTGGAGTGGAGTGGAATTGAGTGGAGTGGAGTGGAGTGTAGTGGAATGGATTCCACAAGACGCGATCCCTCCTCGAGGTGGTGGAGGAGGAGGAGAGGGAGGAGGAGGAGGAGGAGGAGGAGGAGGAGGAGGAGGAGAGGAGGAGGGGAGGAGGAGGAGGGGCAGCAGCAGGGCGACTCTTGGAGATCGCCGGCGATGCACGGCGCGGCGCGAGCGCCGAGCTCTAGCGCTCTCTCACTTGCCCGGGCCGAAGACGGGCATGAGAGTGTAGGTCTGGCACTCGATCTGCGACACGCCCTCGATCGCCATGAGGCTCTCGACTACGGCCGCCTCTGGGTAGAACTCGACCGCCGCCCAGTCGTCGAAGCCGTCCAGGCCCAGCTTGCTGACGATCTTGAAGTCCTTGCAGTCTCCGCACACTATCCGCTGGACGCTCAGCAGGCCGTGCACTTGTCTCAGCGCGGGGACCACCACGTCGTCGAGCACCTTCTGGCACTCCTGCAGGGACTTCTTGCCGTCCTGGTCGCTCCACTTGCACCGCCACTCGCGTGCGACCTGGTTGTAGGCTATGTTGTCTGCGATGTACTCTGAGTTGTGGGCTGTGCTCTTCCATTCCGCTTCCTGCGTGGCCGCCATCCACCACACGCCACGCCCCTCACCTGCGCCCTGCTCCGAAGAAGAAAACACAGCATAAGCATAAATGTTCGACTGTCCACGCGGATTTCTTGAATCTGCGCTGGACCCCCCCTGGCGGTGTCTCCGGCGCCGCCCCTGACGTGCTACGCACGCCAGGACGGCTATCCAGAGCAGATCCGAGAAATCCGCGCGGACCGTCGAACGTTTATGTTTATGCCGTTGCTCTTCCTCGACTGCTTGCTCGGGGCCCGATCGCGAGGCCACCACCGGCAAACAGACGCCAGGCAGACTCGAACCAAAATTAAAGCGGCGCCGGGCGTTACAACTAAATCTACACCAACAAATCCAAGACGCCCAACATGTTCCTGTGTGTCCTGGATATATGTATATATGAATGTATATATGTCTACACATGTATACATCTATCTATATGTGTATTCATACACATATATATGTACCCCTCCATGTCCAACATTCCCCATACGTTCACGAAAACCCGCGCCGATCCGCACTTCTGCCAATCCTCCCCTCCCGAAGACTGCGCTGCCGCGCGCGGGGCCCGCAGCTCCCGGCGACTCGCCTCCGCGGCGGCGCCAGGCGCCGGCGCACGCGCGAGGGCGCCCGGGACCCCGGAGCGGAGCCCTGGCCTGGCCGTTAGGCCACGAGGGGCGGAGGCCACGATAGGGGCAGAGGAGCAGCGGGCAGGCGCGGGCGCTGTCGTGCGTGACGGCCCTGGGACAGACCTCCTCGCGCGGTGGCAGGGATCACGACGGGAAGTTTCTCGCTATGTTCGGCCTCTGGGTGGCCTTACCGAGCCTGGAGACCGTCAAAAAGCGACTCGGGACGAAGAACTGGCCCCGAGGAAGGGGCCCAGACCTGCGGGGGTCGACGTTGCGAAAAAATCACGACGTCGGGGGTCTGGGGGGCCAGAAGGACGTCAGGAGCGCGTTGCTACATCTTCGGCGACACTGGGCAATCTTGAGGGAGGGGGACTGAGGGGGCCGGGGGGGATATAATGTAACGCCTGAGGCAGGCTGATGCTGAGGCAGGCTGAGGCTGAGGCTGAGGCTGAGGCTGATGCAGGCTGAGGCTGAGGCAGGCTGAAGGCAGACTGAGGCTGAGGCTGAAGCAGGCTGAGGCTGAGGCTGAGGCTGAGGCAGGCTGAGGCTGAGGCTGAGGCAGGCAGGCTGATGCTGAGGCAGGCTGAGGCTGAGGCTGAGGCTGATGCAGGCTGAGGCTGAGGCAGGCTGAGGCTGAGGCCGAGGCTGAAGGCAGACTGAGGCTGAGGCTGAAGCAGGTTGAGGCTGAGGCTGAGGCAGGCTGAGGCTGAGGCTGAGGCAGGCTGAGGTTGAGGCAGGCTGAGGCTGAGGCTGTGACTGCGACTGCCGTTGCCACTGCGACTTCATCGCGAATGCGACTGCGACTGCGAGAACAGCAGAATTCTACAACTGGATTCTCATCTGAATCTTAAGGGGAATGCTTCCAGATATGCTCCTACACTTCGCTGTTAGGTTGCTTTGCCGGGATAATTGGAGAGGGCGGCAGCGATATCCATGACCCAAACTCATACTGGTACTCCACCAGCTTCCCGATCCTGGACTCCTGATCTAAAAATTCATTATCCGATGCCCTCACCGTGAGACCCTCCCAACGGCGGTGCCCCGACGATGCTCGATGGCCTGCACATTTTTCTCGCCTCTGGCCCCGCCCGTGCCAAAAACACGGGGGGGGGCGCACAAGCGGGCGTCCGGCAAGTCCCTGGTGCCCGCACACAGCGAGCTCCAGCCTGCAATAGATCGGTGGCGCGCCCAGGGGGGAAGCAGGAGAGGCGGGAGGCCTCCCAGGAAGGCGGCGGGGCTTCTCCGAATCTCTCCCGCCTTCTCGGGAGCCTTGGCAAGCCAACTGCGCGGCCGCAGAGGGCTCCTCCGAAGGCCGGAGGGCTAGGGCTTCTGAGGAGCCCCGCCGCCTTCTGATGAGGCCAGCCGCCTCTCGATTCCCCCCTGGGCTCCCCGCCTGATGTGGAAGAAGAAGCGCCATAAACGTAATTTTGCGTGGCGCTCCGCGCGGACTTCTTGGATCTGCGCTGGACCCCTCCCTGGCGCGCGGAGCGCGCCAGGGGCGCTGCCGGAGGCGCCGCCGGGGGGGGGGCCCAGAACGCATCCAAGAAATCCAGCGCGGAACGACACAAGTGTATGTTTGTGGCGTTCCTTCTTCTTCTTCGATGATGGAGGCTGAAGCGCAAGACGCAAGAGCCTACTGCGGCGCACAGGGGCGGCCGTTCTCCCGGCCTCAGGCTGCCGCGAGTGGGGGGGGCGGCCAAGGCCTGTGGCGGACTGATGTTTGCTCCACCCGTGTCACTGCACCGACTGTGCAGACGTGCTGCAGCGGATTTTTGCGCGGATTTCTGCCAATGCAAAACCCCAAAACCTCGAGCGAAAAACGGAATGAGTTTTGTCACGTGTTCTCCCCACCATCCTGTGATGTTGGGTCCTTGTTTTGAAGCGACGGTGCTCCGCGTTCCTCCTCTCCTTTCCTCATCCCCCTCCTCCCTCTTCCTCCTTCCCTGCGTTTCCCCCGCCCTAGTACAGCGTTGCGTGGCCCGATTGGGAGCCCCACCGAAGGTCCCAATGCTACCGTCCGCATGCGTCCCGCACACCCAATGCAGCGTTTCGTGGCCCTTCCGTGCGTTTCACACACCCAGCACAGCGCTCCGTGGCCCCATAGGGAGCCCCGCCGAAGGCCCCGTCCCGCACACCCAGTACAGCGCTTCGTGGCCCCATAAGGGGGCCCCACCAAAGGTCCCAGTGCTACCGTCCGCATGCGTCCCGCACACCCAGTACAGCATTTCGCACCACCCGAATTGGCATTTCTACCCACCCAGTACAGCGCTTCTTGGCCCCATAGGGAGCTCCACCGAAGGCCCCAGTGCCACCGTCCTTATGCGTCCCGAAACTTCATTTGGCATTTTCACCCACGCAGTACAGCGTTTCGTGGCCCCCTAGAGAGCTCCACCGACGCCCCCAATGGGACCCCCCGCATGCGCACCGAAACATCCAATGTGGCATTTTCACCCACCCAGTACAGCGCTTCGTGACCCCATAGGGAGCTCCACCGAAGCCTACAGTGGGACCGCCCGCATGTCCACCGAAGCCCCCAGTGGGACCGCCCGCATGCGTCCCACACACCCACTGTGGCGTTTTCACGTATCCAGTACAGCGCTTCGTGACCCCATAGGGAGCTCCACCGACGCCCCCAGTGCCACCGTCCGCATGCGTACCGAAAACCAAATTTCGCATTTTTACCCACCCAATACAACGTCTCGTGGCCCCAGAGGGAACTCCACCGAAGCCTCCAGTGGGACTGCCTGCCCGCAGGTCCACCGAAGCCCCGAGTGGGACCGCCCGCATGCGTCCCACACACCCAACCTGGCATTTTCACCCACCCAGTACAGCGCTTCGTGGCCCCATAGGGAGCTCCACCAACGCCCCCTATGGGACCGCCCGCATGCGTCCTACACGCTCAATGTGGCATGTCACCCACCCAGTACAACGCTTCGTGGCCCCATAGGGAACTCCACCGACGGCCCCAGTGCTACCGCCCGCATGCGTCCCACACACCCGGTGCAGCGTTCCGTGGCCCCATAGGGAGCTCCACCGAAGCCCCCAGTGGGACCGCCCGCATGCGTCCCACACACCCAACTTGGCATTTTCACCCACCTAGTACGGCGCTTCGTGGCCCCATAGGGAGCTCCACCGACGGCCCCAGTGCTACGCATGCGTTCCCCCCCACCCAGTGCAGCGCTTCGTGGCCCATAGGGAGCTTCACCGAAGAAAGTATTCACAATTGCGGTACCCACAACTGCATATGGTTGGTTGGGTCTTTCGCCAAGATAATGTGTGTGGCCTCCATTCCTGACCAACAAGAAATCGCACGAAATTCACTGCGAAATCCGAAACGAAATTATCCAGGACAGTCCAGGCCCTTCCCATTGTTTTCCGAACGAAATCCGCTCTGCGATCGATGTTGGCGCCATGACCCGTGGGCCGCAGGAGGCTCGGCCCCTGCCCCGGGGGGCAGCTCTCTGTCTCGGGCCCACCCGGCGATCGCCCCAGAATCCAGGACCGGCCCCTGGAGGCCGAAACTAATAAAAAGAAGGCGGCAAAACCACATAGACATAAACTTTTGGCGCTCCGCGCGGACTTCTTGGATCCGTGCTGGACCCCCCTCCCTGGCGCGCGGAGCGCGCCAGGGGCGGAGGCGCCGCCAGGGGGCCAGGCGCGGATCCAAGACATCCGCGTGGAGCGCCAAAAGTTTATGTTTATGTAGTTTGTTCTTCTTCGAATGAGACCACGGGGCTGACAATAATCCATCTGCTGGAGGTCTGGAGAGGAGGAGCAGAAAGGCACCGACACCGATGCTCCCTGGACCTCTGGGGGGTGCGTACCAACTAGGATTCCGAGGCGCATCTGGCCATGGCGACGAGGGCCCCTAAGGAGACCCGAGGAGGCGAAACGAGTGAAAGTCCGGGTTGGACAAAGTAGATGGTGGGTTGACGAATCAGCTCAAGTATTAGGTCGGGCATGTCCCCCTACAGGCGGATTTTGGGCGAAAAAATGTAACCCCCCAAATACACCCAAAATGCTATTAAAAAACGTCCTCAGACTATGCTTCACTATTTTTGAATATTCCTCCTGCAGAGGGACGTGCCCAGCAGAACTTGAGCAGCTATTTCTGACTGGCGCCCCTGCCAGCGCTGGAGGCGCCCATGCCTCGCAGAGAGCACGGGGCGGCGGGGCCGAAGCTGGCTGCACGCAGTGGACTTCGTACGTACGCCCCCCCCTCCCCCTGACGTCCGCCGACGTGATGGCTGCCCCGATACGACACACGCAGCACGTATCGTATTGATACGGAGCTCAGCACGTAGGCTGAAAACGTCAGGCCGACGCGATCAGTTCGCCAAAACGTGTCCAATACGTGGAGCCAACACGCAACGTTTTGAGACGGACGTCTGGAACACGGGACGCGCTGCGTTTCAAAACGGGCGTATCGAGGCAACTTAGGATGGTTTCAATCCGCGGCCCCAGAGGCCCCGACCGCTTCCCCATACAGGGCTTGTTGGTCGTCCTCGGTCCAGATATATGGCCCTGGGGCAGGGAAACGCCCCCGCGGGCCGGACTCGGCAAAGAGCCCCCAGGTCAAGAGAACATGTCGCGCGTTCTCGGGCCATGAATCGGCCCTCCGGCAGCCGTCCGGGACGATCTGGGCACCCCTGGAACGCTCTCAACGAGGCGCAGCTGCTGAGAAGCACGCTCGAGAGCCCACGAAAACGTCCGAAGACGTCGGTTCAAACATCATGCCGGAGGTCTGGGCCCCCTCCGTCCGCCCCAAGAGGCAGCCCCGACTTCGGATCCGCCGTGCCTGGGGCGATTGCGCAAGCAGGGCGGACATGTCCGCCCTACTCTTCGAGCTCCTCCGATGCCGACGTCCGCCCCGCGCTGCCGTCGCTGTGTCTCCGCCCTGCTTCTGCGGAGACCTCCGCCCTCTGCTTGTTCGCACCGTTTGGGGGCGCATTTCCGACACGCACGTTGGAGTCGGAAGCGCCGCCCAAGCACGGCGGGCCTGAGGTCGGGATGGGCCCCCCCTCCGCCCGCCGCGAGAGGCGGGAGAGCTCGGGGGCGCACGGGCCCGGGCCAGCGCAAACCCTGGCCACCTGGGACGATCTCGTCAGCATGGCCCCCGCCACGACCTCCACCCCCCCCCCCCCCAAAAGCATCACCCCCCCTTTTGGACGCCCCCGATGACCCCCAGTCCTCGCCCCATCCTTCGGGGGCGCACGTGGCCCGGGCCAGCGCGGGCCCCGGGCCAGCCAGGGCCCGGTCGCGAGCCCAGGCGGGCCGCGGAGTGTAGTGTACATATACATATATATTATATATATATATATATAATATATATATGTATATACAAATATATGTATATATACATATATACATATATATATATATATATATATATATATATATATAGACCTGGGCCAGCGGAGGGCAGGGGGGCGGAGTCGGCCCCAGGTGGCTCCGGAGCGCGGGTCGGCCAGGGGGTCTCGGGGGAGATCGGCCGGCCCCCGTTCGGGAGGACGGCACTCGGCGGCGAGCGAGGAGACGGCCTTCGCGAGGAGAAGGCCTTCGCGACGGCACTCGAGGGGGAACAACGAGGAGGAGAAGGCCTTCGCGGGAGGCGGCGGGACTTCTCAGAAGCCCTCGCGCCCTCCGAGAAGTTCTCTGCGTCTCCTGGGGAGGCGCAGGAAACCGCCCAGGAGGCCGAGGGGAGGAGCTTCCAAGCCTTCTGAGGAGGCCCGCCCCGTCTCACTTCCCCCCTGGGTTCGCCGCCGAGGAGCCGTGGGGCAGAGGTGGGATTGGGGGAGGGGGGTCGCTCCAGACGGCTCCTGGAAGAAGAAGGCGCGGGCATCCGGCTGGGTTCGTTCCCTAACCCCACCTGGGCGACGAAAACAAGCGGGTCCTACGCGAGAGGCCATAGAGGCCTCGCGCCGCGGCTCCGCCGGCTCAGCACGCCGCATGGGAGACGAGGGCGCTCACGCGGGACCCTGCGCGGAGAGCTTACGCGCCAATGTCAGCGCGATCGGCCCCGCCTTTTGGCGTCGCCCGCCTGGGGATAGGCCCCCTCTGCGAGCTCCCGACCCGTTGGCGCTGACCCCGCCACGTGAGCCCCGAAGATCGGCAGCAGCGGCGGGGGGCGCCCCAGCCCCGAGCCCCATCAGCTCACGGCGCCGCTGGCCAGGCGAGCGCGTCGAGGCTGCACGTTGCCTCGCCGGCCGCCGGCCACGCGGCGGCAGCCCGCGCTCTCACAGCGTCTCCAGGTCGACGGGGGACGGCGCCTTCTCGGGCGGCAGCGACGGCGGCGACGGCGGCGACGACCAGGCGGCGGCGACCACGACGACGAGGCTCCACGATGACGACGACGACGACGACGACGACGACGACGATGACGACGACGACGAAGTTAACGAAGCCTCAAAAAAGTCCCCGAGCCGTGCTTGCGCCGAGGGGTTCTCGCCCGCCTTCCCTTCAGGACCCCCAACCCGCCGCGCCCCTCTGGGACCCCCAGGGCGCGCCAGGCTGTCCATCTGGCGGCATCCGCCAAGCCCTGAGATCCGACGTAGCGGAAAAAATGCAACATCGCAAAACAAGAACCAGACCCAGAGCCCTAGACCCCATCTTTCTGCGCCACTGTTCGAGCCACATCGATCTGTGAGGGCCCCGGGGCCCGAAGCAAGGCGAACGCACCTGGCTTGAAAAAACTGAGAGGCCAAAATCTCAGGGAGGAGGTGTCCCGGCTGCCCCCGCCGGAGGCTTCCTGGCTCTGCCGCTGCTCGTGGGTGCCTCGGTGGGAGCCCCGTCGCCGCCCCGTGCGCTACCTAACGCTGCCCTGTGTGTTTCGGCCCGTCACCGCCCGCCCCCCGCCCAGTCGTCGCCTCGTCACCGCCTCGTCGCCGCCTCGTCGCCGCCCCGTGCGCCTGGTGGCATGCCCAACGCTTGCAGCTCAGAGCCTGCATCACATAGGGGATGCGCCCCTGCACCACGCAGCCCGCATCACATGACGCTCACGTGGTGCACCGCATCGCTTCTTTCACATGGCCTGCACCGCAAATCTCGCACACCCAGGGTGCGAGAACTTGGAGGTTCGTGGTCCACGCTGGTCAACAATGTTGATGGTGTTCGGCCACCGGGAGCCCGTTTCGAGTCCCAAGGCCACCGGAAATCGATCCTGGTGACTGACCCTGGGAGGTTCTGGGACCAATTTCGAATGGATTCGGTCGCAGCACAAAAGGCGTCTCTTTCCTAGAAAAGGAAAAGACGGCATAAGCATAAACTTGTGGCGCTCCGCGCGGACTTCCTGGATCTGCGCTGGACCCCCTTCCCTGGCGCGCGGAGCGCGCCAGGGGCAGCGCCGGAGGCGCCACCGGGTGGGCCCAGCGCGGATCTAAGAAATCCGCGCGGAGCGGCACAAGTTTATGTTTATGGCGGTTTCCTTCTTCGATATTAATCGCCACCACCACGCCTGGCCAGGGCCATCCTGGGCCCTGGCACGGTGCATGCGCCCACCTGGCCTCGGCCAGGAAAGGAAGGTCTATATGCAGCATATGCGCCACTGTGGAGCCCGAGATGGCCCTGGCCAGGCATGGTGGTCATGCACGGGAGCTTTGTGTCGCTTAGTAGGCCCTGGAAACGACGAGGCCAGCTTTTTACTGGTTCCGTTTTGCCGT